AGTACTTCAACGGGCTGTATATCCAGAAACTCCTGGGGCCTAATTTGCTATATTTTAACAGGATATTTTTAATGAGGAATCCCATTAGAATTCCTGTCAACCTATGGAAACTGACCCAGAATTAGATTGCTTTCTCCCGTGGGTTAGAGTGGTGTAGGCTTGGTTGCTGGAAGGATTTCTTATTTATACGACTCAGATTCCTTAGTAAGAAATCCCAATAAGCAATACTGCAAATTAAATTCTCCCCCCTCCGCTGCCCCCCAATAATTAAACATTGTATGTATTAAAGAAGTCTCAGTAAGCCTGCATATGCTCTTGAGACCCTGAGGACCTGGTTTACTGCAGTCCACTGCTGCTGGAGGATAAAAGACAAGTTACCTGACTATACATGTAATGTCTTTCAATGGGACATGATCCAGGTCTTTTAAATGCTGAGAGGCATGGACAATGTTAGCAGATGTAAGCAGATCATTCAACATGGACTGTGGGAGCAGACACCAAAGGTCATAAATGAAACATTAACAATCCTCCCACCGAATAACTGATAAATGGAGCAGTCTCCTAGTAAAAGTAATTATTGCCAGGTCAATTACTGCCTTTAGAACAGAGCTGGGTAAATATCTGGTTAGGATTGGGAGCAAAGACTCTTAAGAATAAGTATGGACAGAGGCGATTGAATTTTCACAACATTGAAGGAGAAGTTCGGATAAAGAAAGCCTTTAGTCTCTTTTGATCTCATGCGTCCAGAATATAAACCCTACTGTTTTTCTGTTATAGCATCAAGTTATTTATAAAATGCATCCAGTGTCCTAGACTCAACCGTCTTTCCTGGTAGCAAGTTCCAGCTGTTGATTTCTCTCCATCTAGTTAAATACTTCCTGATGTCTGTTCTAAAATCAACTTTCACAGCCCTGAACCTCTGCTCTCTTTTGCTGATGTCTTGGCATATCTCAAAGTATTAATCTGTGTTTACTTGTTCTGTCCCAATTACCATTTTATGTACAATCTCAGCAAACAAACTTTAACTCTCTTGAGCCTTTTATGTTAAGTTTTCTTAGAGATATTCAGCTGCTCTGACTCCTGCCAGAGATGCAGACCCCTTTGAATATTGATCTTGCAGAGATAGAATTCAATATCCGCCCACCCCGAGACCTCAGTACAATATCGCCCGAGACAATCCCCACGTTAAAACTCAGTATTCTCTTTTGCTGCTCTCCAGAATGTTAGATTAAAGCAGGTCTGGCACTTGAAATTTTCAAGATGGTACCAAATGTTAGTAAAATGTTTTGAAATGACCCATGTCAATACAGGTAAGTAAGGAGGGGAATACTGAACCTGGCAATGATTATCAAATGGTGACAAATTTGCAGAATCTTATAATTCATTTTAACCTTCTGACTCAGAGGTTCATAGTGCTACCAATTGAGCCAGGCCGCCACCTTATTCCATATCTTGTTAGATGGGCATGCATTATTAGCCACATAAGTAGCTGTGACAGTGCATAAAGTGTCATTTAATCTTAATTTGACTGGTACGTCAGTGATCTGTTCCACATATATATACTTCTGTACCGCTGTCAATGTATGTTTTCTCTACTGCTATTTGTAGGTGTGGGGAAGGAGTTTTTGAGGTGGGGGCAGTTTATTTGTAACCATCACCAAATACCTGGTGGTATAACCACATGTTTTCTTTAATAAGAGAAAAAACATGTATCCATCTTTCCAGGAGGTCTAGAGAAGTTCATGCACTGACTGAAAGCATCCTTAGCTTCATGAATACCTAACTGTTTAGGACTTTGAAAGTCAAAGCCAAGGTTATTCATGAAAAAAAACAGGCTCATAATGCTCATGGGGAAATACCAATAAAATGGTCCTTATTTGTCAGTCATTGTGGTGCTCTGCAGCAAATAAAACATTTAACTTGAGCAATAGGGCATGATCTTTTGAGAAAGAAAAGCTGTTTGCATTCCTGGAACACAAGTAATATATAGTATTTCTGATCTACAATACAGTTGATCCAATCATCTATTATTAAAACTGCAAACACACTGAATAATGTTTTTATTACATATTTAATTATTTGCAAGATATTGCATAAATAGCACAGAAAATGATCATGCTTTTAACACCATGAAGATCAAAGTGCATTTCTGAACATTTATAAAATCATACAAGACTACCATTGCTTTTAGCTTATTCAAGAACAACTTACACTTATACATTTCCTTTCATGGAGGATGAATGTCTCGATGTACAGGGTATTCACAAAGTCCTCAAACCCCCTTGTTACAAAACAGCGATATGAGACTATGGAGGAGTTGAAACAAGCTGTCAGAGATGTATTTCGCCTTGCCACTCATCACTCCATCATGTTACAGAAGATGTTGCACCAAACATGGCGATGCATCATTCTCTGCCATAAAAATGATGGTGCTCAAACCAATCCTCTGGATGTCAGGGTGTCTAAATACAGTTAAACACTTCCACTGAATATAATTAAGTACATTACTGTAGAAACATAGAAACAGAGTAAGCTATTCAGCTCCTCGAGCCTGTTTTGCCATTCTATAAGATCATGGCTGATCTGTACCTCACGTCCAGTTACCCACCCTTGCCCCATATAATAATCATAATAATAATAATCCTTGCATTTGATATAGCGCTTTTAACGTCTTCTCGACATCTCAAAGCGCTTCACAGAATATGCTGTAAAGTGAATTGATCGTATATTTGTGGGCGAAACGCAGTAGCCAATTGCGCACAGCAATGTCCCACAACAGTCGTGGATTGAAAATTACCAATTTATTATTGTTTTTGTTTTGGAGGGATTATTATTAGGCGTGTGGAGTAAGGAAACTTGCCCAAGGTTTTGCCCTGCCTGGAATTGAACCCAGGTGTCTCGCTTGCAAGGCGAGTCCTCTAACCACTGAGCTACAGGACTCCACAAAATTCCCATAATATCCATGTATCCCTTAATATCCTGACTTAATACTTTTAAATATAATTATCATCATTCTTCCACATGTTCACTTGTTGGTCAATCCACTATGTTAAGAAAATGGGCATAACAGGTCTTTGTGGATAACCTGTACTTCACAAAAGATGATATGGATCACTGGTTAGGGAGGAAAGGAAGAGAAATCTGAGAGTGTTAACCAAAGGCATGGCCAAATAGATGAGTTTATAAGATGGATATGAAGGCAGACGGAGATCGTGCAAGATGCAACCAGATCCAGGGAGCAGGAACATAGTGGCAGCTGAAGTCACTGAAGTGCTGGAAGAACAGATTCCATGCTATGATAAGGTGTTACTTTTGAAGTTTCCACATTTTTTGTAATATTAAAATCTGCCCATCCATTTATGAGAGAAACCACAGTACGTTTTGAAAAAAGCTATGGAATGTATTCAGCACTCAAGAGGTTAAATGCTATGAATGAATGTAGAAATTCTAGATCATCAGAAGGGTGAGTGCATTTCCTTATATAATAATCTATATAATAAGAATCTTTGCATCTGACATGGAGCCTTTCATGTTGGAAGGATATGTCTCAAAGTGTTTCACAGAATTTACTGTAAAGTGTAGTCACTGTATATTTGTAGGCAAACTTAGGAGCCAATTTGTGCACAATAATGTTCCCAAAGCAACCATAAAGTGAACAGTCACTTTTATCTGTAGTGTTGTTGACCAGGAATCAGGAGAAACTCCCTTCTCTTTTTAAACAGTGCCATGGGATCTTTAATGTCCACCTGAACAGACAGACAGGACTTCTCAGTCTAAAGTACAAACAACACCTCCAACAATGCAGTACTACCCCAGTGCTGCACTGAAGTTTCACCCTGGATTGTGAGCTCCAGACATAAGGCCTGAACCCACAACCTTCTGAGCCAGAGGCAAGAATGCTATCAACTGAACCAAGGCTGACACCTGATCTCACTTTGTACAGCTCAATTACATGGATAGAAAGTATTCAAAGAGATATTTATTTTGGACTCAGATCTAGCTTGCAACACTTAACCTAGACCTAACAACAGCTTACAATTACAGTATATTGTTTCTTGTAGGAAACATGTGGGAAAATGTCTTGAAGGACATTCCAGCTTTCAAGCAAGGTGGAAGACAATAATGCTTGTATTTGATATAGCGCTTTTCACATCTTCTAGACTTCTCAAAGCGCTTCACAGAATATATGTAAAGTGAATTGACTGTATATTTGTGGGCGAAATTCAGCAGCCAATTGCACACAGCAGTGTCCCACAGACAGTCGTGATTGAGTGACCAAATTATTATCGTTTTTTTGAGGGATTATTATCCCCGGAAAAGCGATCCGCCAATCGACTAACAACCGGGTTCCTACTTACTGTTAGGTAAACAGAGGCGTGTGGCATAAGGAAACTTATCAATCTTTTGCCCTGATGGGAGGGAGGTGGGAGTAAGGAACCCAAAAGGCTTCACATTGATCTGAAATTAAACTGAAATGTTGTCTCCACGTTGGAATGTCATTCAGATCAGCAGTCATTTTTCTGACAAGAAAACAGCTCGTCAAAGGAAGACTTTTTCTTTGGTAAAAGTAGAAGTATTCACAATCAAGTCATTAACTGATTGCCGAATAAAAAATTCCCTACACTTTTTTTTGTTGAAAAATAACAGAGATCAAACCAAATTTTATTCGTATTTACATGAAACCCTTTTCTTTTCCTCCCTCCAGCCACATAGAGTTCTGGGGCTAAGTTTCATGTTGGTGATAATAACCAGTCAGCTCCAAGGTGTTCACCTCCCACTCAGAACCGAACAGACATATAATCTGTGCTTCAAGACACAGAAATACCAATGTCTTTGACTGCTGGGTCAGGCAAAGAATCCCTCTCACATGATTAGGTGATTGTGGCCTGTCAGCGGGCTGGTGGGGTGGGGGGTGTCAAATAGGATGAAAAAGTAGAAATGAAGCCCGTCAGTGAGGCTTAGAGCTAATTAGCTCACCATACTACAAAGGTGGGCAGGCCAGGGATATAGACCCCAGGGAGCTTTTCAGACTACTCAATGTCTGATTGGCAGTTATATACAAGAAGCCTTAGTCGTCCACACTGCATCATTGGACTTCCACATCAGCTCAGTGCAGAACTGAATTCATTCAGGCATGAGGGAACTGCCTGTACATAATCTGGGGAAGACAAACACACAAGATGGATAATAGACTGGAGTCTCTGCAAGATTTAGTCTCCTTACTGTTGCCTGACAAAAACCCTGCATTCGTCTTTAAAGATTGTGAGTAAACTTTGCTGTACATTTGAAACAAAAAGATATGTAAAGCTTTTGCTCTATATTTATGAGTCAATAGCAGCTACTAAATCACTCTTGCAAGTTAGTATGTTCACATTGTACTTTATCAAGAAGATCTTGGTACAAATCATTGCAAATTTCAAGGGTAATAATATGCTGCATTTAACAGAGTAAACTCTAAATATATTGAATTGTATGATAGGAAAAACTGTGATTTTTTTTTGCTAAATCTTGCTATGTTACTTGTAGCATTTTAAAATGCATCAGCCTTTGCACAAAGAAATAATGCCCAAGCTTAGGACAACATTTCAAACTGTTCTATCAGAGTTTTTTTTCAAATAAATTGTATTGCACCTTGTGGGGGAGCATGCTTTAAGTTAAAAGGTATTGTAGTTGCACAAAGGCTATTATTCAAATTTTAGTTCAGACTTCAATTAGATTTCAAAATGAACTGCACAGTTTATGTTGAGGCTGAATTGCAAATGATTTATTATGAGAAATATATAAGCAAATATATACGGTGGAAAAAAAGATCATTATTGTTATTCATGCTTTGTAATAGGAGCTTTGCATTGCTCAAAGTTTGCAGTGTACTGCTCAAGCTGCATAAAAGTCATGCTAATAACAGTGATACAGCACATTGGATACATATTGAGTCAGAACTGAAGGCTAATAGATAAATTAAGTTTGTGGTATTTGACTGTGACTGATTCTTATATTGCACTCCACGAACTTCAAAACTGTAGCACTTGCAATTTACTGCTTGCTGACAGAACTTGCCTAACTGCAACTCCATTGAAAATTGGGATTATGAGTTGCAGATGATGCTAGAGTGTTCAATAGCACACCTTTAATAAACAAAGTTAGTTGAGCTTTGCCAACTCAGCTTTTTGTGTTCAAGTACACACTCACCATTGATCACCTCCATGCCTAAAGTCCACTGGATGAAAATAAAGTTGGAGACTGAAAGGCTAAAACACAGTCGATTATTCCATCTTTATTCTTTAAAAGAGAAACAAAGGGTTACAACAATTATGCCTTCTCTGCCTTTTGAAACTCCAGCTATATTAACATTTGCTGGATCTTACACATGAATGGAAGGATCTACTAACAGCTGTAATATCCAGCAGAGAAAGGTACAGCTCTGTGTCTGCTACATATTTTCCCATGTTACTTTGTTTGGTTGCTTGAAAAGATTTAAGATAACATACCCTGAATGTATTTTGCTAAAAAGACTATGATTTTGATTCAGGCCATTCCCAAATTGAGTGAAGATATTTGATAATCTCCTGGTACCTATTTAAATAAGTACCAAAGCTAAACTTTCAGTTAACCAAAAAAGAGGGTTAGAAAGGATTTAAAAGCATTCAATGGAAACATTTATTTGCCGCTTTGGTTTCCATTCTCTGCTTGGTCTCGAAATTATTCAGACAGAGATGTTTGTGCCAGAGGAATTATCTGCAGCAACAACCGATTTTTTAACTTTAGAAAAAATGGCGAGGTGGTTTCTTTTTTTAATGGTTCCTCATGATAACGTCAGATATATTCAACCAACTTCTGCTTGTTTACACAACTTTTTTTCAAGAATTAAAGTGCATGCTGATACTCCAGTTACAGTACTGACGGTGTGATGCATTGCCAGAGGTGGAGTCCCGTAGCTTATTGGTTAGAGCATTCGCCTCGCAAGCGAGAGACCTGGGTTCGATTCTAGGCAGGGCAAAGCCTTGGGCACTTACTCCATGTGCCTAATAATAATCCCTCAAGAAAAAACACAATAATAAATTTGTCACTTCAATCCACGACTGTTTGTGAAACACTGCTGTGCACAATTGACTGCTGCGTTTCGCCCACAAACATACAGTCAGTTCACTTTACAGTATATTGTGTGAAGCGTTTTGAGACGTCTGGAAGACGTGATAAGGTGCTATATCAAATGCAATGATTATTATTCATTATATTATTATCTTTTAGATTTTAAACAAAGGTCTCAAAGTACCTCTTCACGTGTTCATTAAGATCTCATAGACTCAAAGTTGGTCATTTAATTCATGTGTGTTTATGGGACATTGCTATATGCAAATTGGCTGCCGCATTTGCCTAAGGAATACACAGTCACTGTACTTTACAGTAAATCGTGATTATTGTTAGTCTTTCTTACTGAACATATAATTATACTTACTGATATATCTTGATGCCTTTCTAACCCTCCCATGAATCTACAGTGACTGCCTAGTTTTGTGAGAAAGTTCCAACTCTGGAATAAGCAGATTGATTTTTGTTCTTAAATTTTATTTTTTCACACTATCTATATATTTCATGTTGATTTATCCCAAAATCTATATTCCAATTTTTAGAATTTATTACTGCATTACTAATTTCCAAGAATTTTAACTGAACAATGCTTACTAACAGCTACACTCCAACTGGATCTACGGTATTTTGAATTGCTGATTGAATGACAAAGTTCCAGATAAGCAAAGGGGAATGTTGTTTGCATTTGATCTCTTGAGAGCTCTTAAACTCAGTGCAGTTCCACCAGCAAAAGAGCTACTGTCTCTTTGGAAAAATCACACATTATTAGAACAAAGACTTGGTGTATCTTTGAAAGTGACAACCATCTCCTTTTCTTTTGCTCTATAACTAATACCCAATGATTCTGCTGAGCAGTGTGACTTTTATCATTCACAGAACACTCAAGGGTTCAAATGTGGACCTGACAATGGGAAACATGTGCAGCGCCACATACTTATGTTTCCACAGATCAAGCTTCAAGCCTGATATTCATAAATATTGCTTCTTCCAACTGCCAAAGTCCAGTCTTTGATCTGACACGCTCTAACTGTTGCGCTTACTTCAGCACGCATTCTGAAAGTAATACTATATTGCAATGTAACATTTTTAATGTTAAGCTCCTTTTGTTCTCACAAAAGGTAAACTTCAGTACAAAGAAAATGTAACCTGAAGCAATGAGTGACAAACCAATGAGTAAGTTAGGCACCAATTTGAAAATGGAATTAGCTGTCTGTTTTGCATTATATAACGTTAATAATACTGTAAAAGAAGAAATGTTTTTCTGTTTCATACATTTATCTAATTTTACTCAATATCCAATATACAAAACCATTTGCTTACATGCTCAGTGTTTAAAATTGATTCATATTTTCCATTCGGCCCAACCTTGTCTATGATAGAATTTATATGCCACATGAGTCTGTTGATTTGATCTGATAAGGGTGCAAGATTGCAAACCCTTGACTGTCCAGCGTTTTAGGACGTCCTCCTGATGTGAAAGGTGCTAAATAGATATAATCTGTTGTTGTTGATATTCTATTGCCAAGCAACTCAGCTCAATTCTAAGAGAACCTGCTCCCCTGCCAGTTTTCTGGTGCCCAGAACTCAACACAGTACTCCAGCTGAGGCCTAACCAGTGTTTTAAAGGTTCATCATAACTTCCCAACTTTTGTATTCTATGCCCCTCTTTATAAAGTCTAGTATCCCGTATGCTTTTTTAACAGCTTTATCTACCTGTCCTGCCACCTTCAAAGATTTACTTATATGAACCCCCAGGTCTCTCTGTTCCTTCTCTCTCTTTAAGATTGTACCATCAGCTTATAGTACCTCTCCTCAGTCTTCCTCCCAACGTACATCACTTTGCATTTTTCCACATTAAACTTCATCTGCCACGTTTTGCCCATTTTACCAGTCTGTCTATGTCCATTTGCAGTCTGCTACTATCCTCCTCACTGTTTACTACTTTTCCTAGTTTAATATCTTCTGCAAATTTGGAAATTGTACTCCCTATACACAAGTCCAGGTCATTTATAGAGATCAAAAACAGCAGTGGTCCCAATACTGATCCCTGGGGGACACCACTGCACACTTCTCTTAGAAAAACAACCGTTCACCACTACTCTGTGCTTTCTGTCTCCCAGCCAGTCCTGTATCCATGTAGCCACTATCCCTTTAATACCGTGGGCTTCTATTTTGCTTACAAGTCTCTTATGTGGGACTTTATCAAATACCTTTTGAAAATCCATATAAACTACATCAACTGCACTACCTTCATCCACCCTCTCCGTTACTTTATCAAAAAACTCTATCAGGTTTGTTAGACATGATTTGCCTTTAACAAATCCATGTTGATATCCTTTATTAATCAATATTTTTCTAAGTGAAAATTTATTTTGTCCTGGATTATCATCTCTAGAAGTTTGCCCACTACTGACATTAGGCTGACTGGCCTGTAGTTCCTGCCCCTTTTTGTACAGGGAAGTAACATTTGCAATCCTCCAGTCCTCTGGCACCGCCCCGGTGTCCAAGGAGGTTTGAAAAATTGTGGCCTGAGCCTTCGCTATTTCCACCCTTACTTCCCTCAGTAACCTAGGATGCATCCTGTCCGGTGACTTATCTACCTTGAGAACTGACAAGTTTTTAGTACCTTCTCTTGGTTTATTCTTATCTTATACAATTTCTCTACTCTCTCCTCCTAAACTGTGGTATTGGGTGCATCCTTTTATTTTCTGACACAGATGAAAATTCTCATTCAGTACGCCAGCCCCCATATGAAGATTTCCTCTTTGGTCCCTAATTCGACCCACCCTACCTTTGACTAACATTTTATTCTTTATATGCTTATAAAATACCTTAGGATTCCCTTCTATGTTACCTACTAATCTTTTCTCATACAATCTCTTTGCCCCTCTTATTTTCTTTTTCAGTTCTTCTCTGTACTTTCTATAATCTATTTGATTATCTTCTGTATTTGGACCTGACATTTATCATAAGCCTCCTTTTCTGTTTTATTTTGATCCCAATATCCTTATTCATCCAGGGAGGTTTGGATGCCCTACCTTTCCCCTTTGTGGGAATGTATTTGTTCTGAACCCGAACTATCTCCTCCTTGAAGGCTTCCCATTGCTCGTTAGCTGTTTTACCTGCCAATCTTTCTTTCCAGTCCACCTTGGCAAGGTCGCTTTTTAATTCAC